CCCCTGGGACGCAGGGGGGGTGCCCTGAGAACCCAGGCTCGGAGCCGCACGTTCCCCCCCACCCCCACAAGGCAGGTTTGCCCAGGAAGGAACCGAGGGTGCGAGGGGCTCCCCTGGGGCTGGGCACATGCCAAGAACCCGCAGGAAGAGGGAGCTCCCAGCCTGAGCCCGCATGGCAGAGCCACAATTACGCCAGGGGCGGGGGGCAGAGACAGGCAGCGCCGGGATCACAGGCACCCAGGAGCCATGGGCACAGGACAGGACCTTGGGGCTCCCTGGGGTGCACATGGGACCAGCTAGCGCCACGGAGGAGACGTGGAGCAGGCCAAGACCACTACGGGGCCAGGGGCAACAGCAACATGAGCCTGCCAGTAGCACTTAATGGGGCTGCCCACGCAGCACACGAGGCCGTGAGGGCGCAAAGGGGCTGCCCGTCGGGCGTGTGGGGCACCGGCAGGGCCATGGCAGTCCCAATCCTGGGGCCGTGGCTCTGTGCTACAAACACACTGGGAACACAGGAGAGGCTATGGCCAGGCCAGGCGCACCATAGATGCTGACACGCGCCTGCAGTGAACCACGCATCTTCTGGGGGCCCTGTGGCACCGTGCACTCGTGCCAAGCCTGGCAGTGCCAACAACAGAAGGGCCAAATGTTGGGAATGGGCTGGAGACAGCCAAGGAGGAGAAGCCGACATGGCCCGGGCAGGGCCCTGGGGCACGTGGCGGGGGAGGGGGGCAGGCTGGGGCTGACACGTGCATGGGGCCATATGACACGCGGTCCCCCGCGGGCCAGCCCAATAGACCATAACCAGGCTTGTTATGAGCTGATTAATTATAATCCCCACCCCCGGCTCAGCCACTTGGGCCCGGCCCCCACCCAGCGAGGCAGGGAGGGGACCCATCCCTCAGTGCTGGGAAGGCCTGGGGCCCGGACACCAGGGTTCACCGCCTGAGCACACACCAGGATCCAAAGGTCCCAGACTGGACTCTGCTGTGGGGGGCGGTTCACAGGGCTGGGGACCCAGGGTCGGGGCCCCCAGCCTCTCCCTGCTGGTCCCCCAGACCCCACTGCCCTCCCAGAGACACAAGGAACCCAGGTGTCCCGGGAATTTTAACCCTTCATGCCCAGGCTGCTGGAGTGTGCGTGTGGGGTCTCCCTGTTTGGTCCCCAACCCCATCCCCTGCCCCCCCTCTCAGGTGCCTAATCCCCTTGGGGGCCTGGGGGGTGGGGAAGCAAAGCTGCTTAGGGGGATGAGAGGCCTGGAAGGTGTCACTGCCAGGGATTAGTCCAGGGCACACTGGGGTCAGCTGGGGCTGTGGGTCAGGAGTGAGGGGCACCATTAAGGCTGGGCGGGTTAGGGGGCTGTGGGTCGGGAGTGAAGGGCACCGGCAGGGCTGGGGGCAGGAGCTGCAGGTTGGAAGTGAGAGGCACCAGCAGGGCCCTGTGTCAACCCTAATCCCAGGACAATGGCTCCAGCCATTGTCCCTAATAGTGGCTGACAGGCCACGCTCAGCCCCATTCAGGGTGACCTCAGCACCCGCCAGGGGCCCCTGACTGCCCTGCCCCCCAAGCCCTGCAGTGCTCCTCACTCCCGGCCTGGAGCCCCCAAGTCCCTTTTGAAGTGGGAGGGGTGCAGGGGGGCAAGGCCGGGGCATGGGAGGCCTCGTGGGGGGGGTGCCCCCACCCATTCAAGAGCTAATTGGATTCCTGCCTAATCAGGGCAGAAGCCCCGCCCCCCAGTTCTCCCAGTCAGGGAGTAACTGGGGGTCCCTTCCTCCCCGCCCTTGATATGCTAATGAGCCTCACCGTCCCCATTGGCCGGTGGGCGAATGAGCTCAGCGGCTCTGGCCCTTTAAAAAGGACCCAGGTGGCCTGGGCCGGGCTCTCGGTGCAGCGCCGCTCGGGGCGGTGGCGGAAGCGCCCCCTGGCGGCCCAAGCGGGCAGCGTAGCGCCGCGCCGCACACAGGTAGGGCGGGCATGTCGGGAGTGAGGGGCACCGTATATGGACTGGTCCATATAGAGCTGGGGGGATACAAATGGCAGTAGGAGGAGTTGAATGATTGCCCCCCCCCCCGCCGGCCCTTTTTCCATCCTCGCCCCTCCATGCTTTCTATAAGGTACAGTCCATATGGAGACCCGCTCCATATAGATGCCTGACCTTATCCCTGATAGAGGCCTGTTGAACTCTCCGGGTTGCCTCTGACACATCCTGGCTTTTGTGGAGGGGATAATATGCCCCCTGGTCCATATACAGCCCTGGTCCATATCCCCGCCATGGCCCCTATAGATGTACTTGGCCTCTAAGGGACATTGCTGCTAGTGGGTTACAGGCTGTGTGATGCGGAAGAGTTGTTTCGTATTCAGCCCTGGTCCATAATTTGTTTTCTATCCGCAGGGGATGGATAAAAAGCAGCCCTGGTCCCTATAGGGTTCTGGTCCATATATTGCCTTCTACTGATAAAGGATGGATGCACAAGGGGCCTCGGGGTGGGCATCACTGTGGGTTGCTGAGACAAGGGATCTGGTACCTATAAACATTTCAGATCCTCACCAGGGCCTTATACAGGCCCAGCCTGTATCACCAGCCTCTCAAGCCCGTCCATACAGTCCCTGCATGTTCTGGGGGGCTTCTCTATAGGGATATACAGGGCGGAGGGGGGTGGGGACATCTGTAGGGGTTCATGGGCAGTCCCTATAGCAAAGAGGTCCAGATGCCGGCTCCATATAGTATGTGGGGCTCTTTGGAGGTGTGGGGGGAGTCTCGTATGGACCAGAGGGGTATAGGGACTGAGGAGGCTGCAGATGGGCTCTACTGCAAACCAGGAAATGCAAGTGGCCTCTCTAGAAAGCTGATCCTTATAGCCAGTCCATATACCGGGCCCTCATATAGGAGCCAGCCCATATACCTCCCTTCAGCCCCATTTCAGCATAACCAGTCTCTATAGCAAAGGCCCTACCAACTACGAAACATGTATAGCCCAGCTATGTAGAGAAAGCTGTACCATATGTCAGATTCATATAGCCCACCCCTGGTCCATATAGCTGTTTATCTAGAACCCTCTGGTCCTTCCCTCCCCCTGAGGCAATACAGATGGACTACAAATACCCCTGATCCCTATGGCCGGTCTATATACAACCCCCCCATGTCCAAATACCTGGTCTATAGAGCCCACATATAATCTATGCGTGTACGGTTGGTCCATATGATCCCTGGTCCTATAGAACTGCCCCCACCAGTTAGTAAGGTCAGTCCATATAGACCTCCTAGCCAATAAAGCCACTACAGCTGGTCCATATGAATCTGCCCTGTCCCATAGAGCTGGACATGACTGGTCCATATAAACTCAATATAGTCTATATCCATCCATCTGATCCCTATGAATCCTTTGTCCCATAGGGCCCCAGTCTGTATGCCAAGTCCATATAGAAGCCCAGTCTGTATGGTAGGTTCATATAGATTCCTTGGTCCATACAGTTGGTCGGGAGAGAGCCCATATAGGCTGTATTGATAATGCTGGTCAATATGGGGCTCTGGTCTGTACAGTTGATCCATACAAGACCTCCCCAGATATCCCTGGTGCATACATGTGGTCCATCTAGACCTCCAGTCCATATTGCTGAGTCATATAAAACCCTCCCCCCAAAGACCCCCTGGTCCATACAGCCAGTCCCTATAGACCCCCCAGTCCCTACAGCTGGTCCATATAAGACCCCTGATCCAAACACCTGATCCATATGCGAGCCCCCACCCTGCCACCCAAGAGACCCCAGTCCCTACTGCTGGTCTATATATAGAGCCTCTAATCCATATGAGATCCCTCCTCATCTCAAGGAGCCCCAATCCATACAGATGGCTCATATGGCCCCTGGTCTGTACATTTGGTCCATATGGGCCCCTCACCATCCCAAAGACCTCTAGTCTATATAGACCACTGGCCCATGCAGCTGGTTCATATGAGACCTCTCCCCAAGACTTGTACAGTTGGTCCATATAGCTTATCTATATGAGACCCACTTCCATCCCAAAGACCCCTGGTCCATGTAGTTGGTCCATATAGACCCCCCCAATGTATGCAGCTCATTCATATGAGACCCCGCCCCCCAACTATCCATACTATCAAGCAATATAGATTCCTGGTCCATAAAGCTGGTCCATATTAGACCCATCCCCATCTCAAAGACCCACCCCTCCAGTTCATACAGCTGGTCCATATGAGACCCCCCCCATCCCAAAGACCTCTGCTCCATACAGCTGGTCCATATAGACCTTGGAGCCATACAGTTGGTCCATATAAGACATCCACCCCCATCCCAAATAGACCCAGTCCATACAGCCAGTCCATTAAGACCCCTGGCCTGTACATCCAGTCCATATACATTCCTAAAGCTCATCCATATGAGATGCCCCCCATCCAAAAGAATTCCAGCCCATACAGCTGGTCTAGATAGTTCTCCCTAGGCCATACAGCTTGTCCATATGAGACCTCCTCTCTATCCCAAAGACCCCCTGGCCCATATAGACTTCTGGTCCATGCAGCTGGTCCATATGAGACCCCCCTCCATCCCAAAGAGCACCTCTCAGTCCATACAGCCAGTCCATACAAGCGCCTTGGCTCATATAATTCTCCCTTCTCTCTCTCAGGTCTCTGGCCCAGCAGAATGGCAGGGCCCCTGGGCGAGCTGCCCGCCAGCCCCCTGGCGCTCGAGTACCTCAACGACTTTGACCTGCTCAAGTTCGAGGTGAAACGGGAGCCAGGTGGGGGTGGGGCCTCGCTGGGCTCCTCCCCCTGCAGTTCAGTGCCACCCTCGCCCACCCTGAGTGACCCAGGGCCTGGGGGAGCCGAGATGGGGGCCGACCCCCGGGGAGCGCTGGAAGAGCTCTACTGGATGGCAGCACTGCACCAGCAGGGGGCATCGGGCGAGGGGCCAGGGCTCAGCCCCGAGGAGGCCGTGGAGGCCTTGCTGGCTGGGGAGGCCATGTACCGGGGCCCCGGGGCCCTGCCCCACCCCCCAGCCTACGTGGGCCCCCCACAGCACCCGGTGAGTGCAGGTGCGGGATCCAGGTGTCTGGCAGAGGTACACCAGCACGTGCACGGGTGGGAAGTGTCCAGGACACATGTGCACACGCACACGTGCAACAAGGACTCAGGTGTCCAGGGCATGCACACAGGGAGCCCAGGTATCTGGGATGTGTACACACACACATGTGCACATGCAACACAGGTGCCCAGGACATGGCAGAACCCAGGTGTCTGGGACATGCGTGGAACCCAGCATCCAAGACATGCACACAACCAAGAATCACCACCCCACAGGTGTATGGGGGACAAAAACACCCCCCCTAGGTGTTTGACACCGCCCCCCCCAACACACACACACACTCTCCCTGGCTGAGGGGATAATATTAATCCCTTTAATTCCAGCCCAGACCTGGGGGGAGGGGTGAAGGGCAGCAGGGGGTGGGGGGATTAGATATTAATCTCCAGCCATTTATATTATGTCACGTTGCTGGGCTAGGGGAGCAGGAGTGAGGGGCACCAGCAGGACTGGGTGGGGCAAGGGCTGGGGGTCGGGAGTGAGGGGCACCAGCAGGGCTGTGGGGGCAGAGGGCTGGGGGTCG